CACACACACACACACACACACTCTCTTAACTCTTTTCTTGGTTCCTTGGGGGGGGGGGGGTTGGAGGGCTTAATTTGTGCTTGTATGACAACTAGATATCATGCTAGTACTAGTAGCCTTCCTCTAAACACTTTCCCACAATTCAATGACCTTCCTAGGGTCAGAAGCCCAAGACTGAGTACAATACTCCAAAGGTGGCTTAACCCATGCAATGAAATTATAACCTAGTTAGACTTGTATTCAGTATTGCTGTAGGTAAAACCTAAAGTCGTAATTGCCCTACCACAAACAACAGCACACTGGCTTAAGTAACTGATGAACCAGACATGAAGGTCCTTTTTTTTTTGTCTTTCATAATGCTGTTATTGCTATACCCATGAAAATTATGATTTAAGTTGTAAACCACTTGTATTACATTGAATTTACTATAATTGGATTTAAGTTACTTATTGATCATCCCTTCATCTGTTATTGGTGTAAATCAAAAAAGAGCAATAGTGTTAACATTGGGCCTTGAGGTACCCAACTTGTCATGTTAATCCAGTTTTAGTGAACTTCTGTTTTATTTGAAACAACCCTCTACTTTCTTCCACCCAGCTATTTTTTATCCAAATTTTGAAAGTTCTTTTCTTGTAACATTTAATGAGTTGAGTGATATAGTGTCCAAACAGTTTATATAAATTAGGAATTAAAATGGTAATTTGATTTGTTGGTGAAAATTGTGGCTAACAATGGTACATTACCCATCTCCTCTATTAGTATGCTATATATATTAACCCATATTAACAGCTAGCATAATAGAAGTAACTTTAGCAATGACTGAAATCATTGTAATATAAATTATTTATAACAAAGGTATGCAGAAATCTATCTTCAAGCAACAAAGAACAAATTAATCTCAGCAGTGTTTTTGTCACTCCATATATAGTTTGTCATTGTGAGTTTTGTCTACTGTTCAGTTTTTTTTTTTTTTTTTTGTGTGTGTGTGTGTGTGTGTATGGTTAAGTTTTATTATTTTATTATCATTATTAAGTACAAAGAAGTGAGTTGTAAGTGAAACCTTTCCATCTAACACTTCCTTGCTGCCATTACTCACAGAACTTTAACCTGGAGAGACTCTGATCCATGTATTTGTTCTGAGAGGCTTGCAAATTTGTTCATTTGAGCTGTATAAAGTTAAGGAACATTAAGTAACAAATACCATGGGCTCTACAGTTGCAAATCTTTAATAATACAGTTAACATGAAACATCTCTCACTAGCTTGATTTAATGGTGGGAGAATGTAACAATATATTGATCCCATTGATAACCGGATAATACTATGCATGACATTTTTCTACTTTAAAAATTGAGTAGGTTAGAGGAATGGAAAGTTTTTACAAAATGATTATTACTTGTGCAATACTATAGAATTTTTCTATTCAGCTGGAGCCATAAAGTTAACTGCAATTTAAAAATAATGGATTCATGTGGTAATAGTGAAGTTACTTGTTTAAGAACAAAATAATTTTGAAGCACATGATTGAAAACAAATGTTTCAAGGAAGTTTTAACCACTACCACTTCTAAACATTTTTTGATCTAATAATTTCACTTGAATTAGACTTTCCATCATAAGATGGGAAGTTGCTGAAATAATGTTCTTAGCTTCAAGGTATATATTTAATGTTGCAAAACAGCTAACTGCCTTAAAATGGATGTTCCATCATTTGTTTGTACACTGTCTCTGAAACTTGCAAAAATATCGTTTGAATCTTGCATCTGCTGTAAATAAAATTATAAAACAAGTGCATTTAAATTATCTAAACTTGTTAATGTTTGCAGTGTTAATGTGAAGGTGGTTGGTGCTATTCATTAATTCTGGTTGAAAGATTTTTTTCAGACTTTTTCAATGTAAAATAATAAGAATAAACTTGCCTTCATTCTGTATCATTTCACCTTCTAGGTGAAAGATTTCTTGTACATGTATCTAGCCTATTAGCCCTTATTAGTTCATATTGTTTAAATATTTTTCTTAACATTACTCAGTATTTTCTTTTATTAAGTAATGAGGCTTTTTATTAACCTACCATGTATGGGGAAAAAAATATAGTGCATGTATAGTAAACTTAGTTTGTAGAGGGGGGGTTGTTTGCTTTCTTCTTTTAGAGTTCATCTTCAGGAAATCAAAAGTTTCAATTGGTTAACATAAATTTATTGTACTACAAGAACCACTGAAAAAAAGATGGGGAATATAAGTTCAGGAAAACGAGACAGAAGATGTTCATCTGACACAGAATGTTTTCCAGTGTCCCCAACTAAAGAAAAGAATAAAGAAACTGGAAAGAAAGGCAAACAAGGACGTCAGAGGTCTTCAGAAGAGGTAGAAGATTTTCCTACCTATACAAAGGTAACTAGAACCTATCTGAAATTTCTGTTGAATTTTAGCTTCAGTGACTTTAGATGGTCTCTTAGTGGTTCTTCAAAGTACAGAAAATAATCACTTTTCAAAAAATGGTTAAATGCAGAAAGTGTATACAATATATTTGTTTAGCACCTTCCCATAAGAGGTAAAGCTTGGCAAGTTTCCTAATCTTGCATTATAGTTTAAGGCTAACTTCATAATCAGTTTCTTTTGCTATGTGCATGAAATACCAATGTAAATCATTCATTATAGATGATGAATAAAAAAAAAAAAAAACCTTAAATACAATCTTACCTGGACAACAAAATATTTACAGGTTGAGCTGTTTTTATCAAAACATCTTCTAGATTTGCTTTTGTGAAATTACCAGGTTACTACAAGTGATGAAATTAAGTTTCAACTCAGCACTACTCATCTTCAAAATTAAAGGATGAGGTTCTGATGTGCTCAAAATTTGAAGAAAAGATGTTCAATATTGACAACTTGTGTTATTACAAATATTGCAGTTAAACAATATCAAAAAATAAAAATAAACTTGAGTCCTTGATAGCTGGTAGATCCTCTGTTGCACCTTTTATCCATACTATTCATGGCAGTTCAGATGACTTGCCAGGCAGCACAGTATATGAGGACAGCTCTGAGCTCCTGCAATATTGTAGGTTGTCTGTCTCTAACTGGTCTTCCTAGCAAGTCCCACACATGCCCAATTGGATTTAAGTCCAGTGACTTAGCAGTCCAGTAAATAAATTCCTTCATCCTGAAAAAATTCTACATGATCCTTGTGTTGCGAGGACATTCATTATACTACTAATATACAAACTTGTCTCTAACACCAGAAAAAGGGGGTGAACAATGGATAGCAGTATCTCATCCACATAATGTCCTGCTATCAGGAATTCTCCATCAATCATAAGTCTGTATGCCCCTGCATACTGATGCCTTCCAAGACCATGATTGAGCTACCCCCAAAGAGATGGTGAACAATGTTACAGGCCAAATATCACCCCTTTACATCTCTAGACTCTTGCATTGATTACTGAATGATGCACAGAACCTGTTTTCATTTGTAAACAGAGGGGTACATAGCAAATGCCAACTAGGCTATTTGGGGCCATGTAATTAATACAGGGATCTAACTAATATTCTGGATTTGAGTCCTATCCTCATAGAACCTGTTCCTAACTATTAAGTAAGATGCACTCACTCAAGTGCATTTCTAAGAGCTACATTCAGCAGTTTATTGGCTGTCTACTACTCCCGTAGCCTTAGCCTGACTTCCTGATTTATTCTTCTTTGATCTTGTGTCTACACCACAATTTATTTACTACAGACTGACTCCCCCCATGACCTGTGCAGCCTTCATGAAACAGTATGGCAGCTCTGCAAACTTCAGTATAAGTTGATTGGTTTCTAACAGCTTGCACACTCTTTGTGAAAGTCAATACCAGCAAACAAATCCATTAACCTAGCATCATCTCAACAGAAAATCTTTCTTGATCAATATCTTCTAGATTTGTTTTGCTTTGCAGATTTTCAGTTATTTCTCAAAGGCCTATTACATAAGGAAATACTGGTGCATAAACTTCCTAACCTTGGGTAGGATTAGTGTAATTTTCAGCAATAAGCATGCTAAATTTGAAAAATTGATAATCTAAAAATATATAAATTTAAACAAACCTCATCCTTCAATTTTTGTGAGTAGTCTACACTAGTAACATACAAAATAAAGCAGTTTTCATGCAAGATTGCATTTAATAATAATCATAATTACCAAAATCTGATATTTTCTTCAAAGTTGCTATAAATTTACATTTCAGTAAAAATGACTGAACTAAACAATTTCATTGTAAATTTGTTAATTCTAGAAGAAATGTAAATAATTGTACATTAAGGAGAATGATCATACTAAATAAACAAATTATCACCAGCATTCTAAACTTAGTTTTACAAAAGTTTGTAAATGTTACTTGCTAAACGTTAATGATAGACCAGTCAAATCAAAGCCAGATATCTGAAATAAATGGTTCCAATTAGGAAACTAAAGTAAACTAATTGTTATGTCTTCATTCTCTTTTCAGTTTGTTTTATTACATATACTTGACTCAGTGTGTTTAGACTACTGCTTGTTTTGCTAAAATTATTACAATTTAACAAATGATAAGTCCTTGTTTGTGAAGGAGCTAAATTAAATGTTCAGTCAGTTTCTGAAAACTGTACATTTCAATACATTGAATTTTATTTTTAACAAATTTTAGTGAACAGTGGATACATGGTAAATGTTATGTCAAAGATAAGTACTATCTTTTATATTGCAGAAGTTGTGCACTAGGCACTTGTATTAAAATACTTACTTAGAATTTATCTACTCACAGCAAGGTTAACTTTAATTCTCTTATACTTTGTTACCACTTTGTAATTATATTTACACTAATTTGTATTACATACTTGTTTACCTCACTAACAGAGCTGGGCACATAACTCTGTCGCTATAACAGATTGCATATGAGCATCAATTACAGATTAGTGCTTCATAATTGGTCATTACAATTGAATGTCTCGTACACTTGTGTCCATGAGTTTCAGAAATATAATCTCTAAATATTAAAGATTTTCTATATTTTACTTCTCACAATTGCAGAGAATCATTTGTTTCTCTCATCTAATTACCTGTTACATCTTAACTTTTTTTTTTCCTTCTTCTCAAGTGTCTGAACTGATTTGGAAGAAAGTTGGTATATGTTTGGACTATGACTCAACTTAAAAGTAATTAGTCTTTGGAGGGTCAAGGTCACAAAAAAAAATCCTTATCTGTTAACATTGGGACTGATTTTTCATGCTAATAATTATCACCATATCTTAACTTTCAGTCTATTTATAAAAAGTGGGTAATTTGTGATTTTTACCATCTGATTGGGATATTATGATTTTCAACTGGATGCTCTCTCAGGCTTAAGGAGTTGAACTAAGGTACTTAATTCATTATTAATTGAAATATTAAGAGCTTGTTCTTCTTGCAAATATACATCCTGCTTTTCAGATGAAGTAATTACTTTTTATGGTAATCAGTGTGAGATGAGGCCCTTAATATAAATTAATACTTGTGTACATTACATATGTTAAGCTTTTTTGTTTGTTTATTGTAACCTATCAAGGTTGAATTTCCAGCATGAACTATTATAAAAGTACCAATTTAATTATCTTGTGACTTCAATTGTGTGTAACTTATTGTAGGTAGTAAGGTTCTGAATTTTTAGTTCATTAGAATCTGTGATCTTAAACTACATACTCCATCTCATTATTTGTTAATACCGTACAACAAAATTGTTCTTGATTTTTATTTGTTTGTAGAAGAAAAAAAATAACTAGTGTTTTCTATTTATGGTGTATTATTAAAGATAGTAGCGTACAAGTTTTGTCAAAGCAGCTGTTCAGCCTGTGAAATATTAAATCATAAGCCACATCAACAAGACGTTAATGATTGTACCCAGCTTTGTTTGTTAAATATTGCAGGAACCAGTCTCAAGTATTAGTAACAATACTATACCAATTAGTGTCAACAGCAATGAGACAACTTTGCCAACTGTCTTTAAATGGGATGGAGGAGGCAAGGAAGTCTATATTAGTGGGACTTTCAGTGGCTGGGAACCCATAAAGATGATAAATAGGTAATTGAGATTAGTCCTAATGTCTTGGTAAATAGTTAGAAGGTAATTTTGTAATGAGGATTATTGTCTTGCCAGTAAGTCTCTTATTAAGACTAGCTGCTTACTTCAGTCTCTTTAAGTAAAGGTAGAAATCGGTAATTGAGGCTTGCTTGCTATTCCGTATTGTTTCTCAGTTAATCTGTAATGAAGACTGGCTGCTCTACATGACTGGTGCCAGGGAATAATCAATAAGGGATAATTTTCCTAGCTTATCATTAATTATTAAATAAGGAATTATTCTACATGGTTATGCCAGTAATTAAGGTTAATTGCCAACAAATTTATAATTAAATCACCAAGTAAAGGAGTCTTGCTGTTGTAAATAGTTCTGTTAGTAAATATTAAATCATATCCTATAATTTAAGAATAACTAATTTCTCACTGTTTAGATTTTCTTTTTCAAGCTCATACAGAAAAAAAGACAAAGTCGTCTTTAACTTGCATTTGGTCTGTTTTGTGCTAGGTAATGCAGTGAAGCACCTTAATGTTGAAACAAAGAGAATGTTTTTAAATCTTATTGTTCTTGCAGAATAATTAAACTAGCACTGTAATCTATCAAAATAGTGGTAATTAGTTTTTTTCCTTGAATAATTGTTTTCTACCACAAGCTATGGAGATCATATGCTGATATTAAACTTGGAAGAAGGAGAACATCAGTACAAGTATCTAGTGGATGGTCAGTGGCAACATGACACTGTTGAGGTTAGTAATAGTGAAATCTTTAATCTAAAGACTTGTCAAATTGCATAGCAGATTTAGAAAGTAAGCGTGGCATTTTTTTTGAAATGTGTAATACTGTGTTATTTGGCTTTTCTCAAGCTTCATAAGTAGAGTTGGGCAACTTAATCTAGGGCAGCAGTTACATGAATTATCTCTTAATTGATTTTCAAGAAAATAACCAACTAATAAGTGTCTTCCATTATTCCAAATAGCAAAATAATAAAAATATTTCATTGTTATTAAGCACAAAGTTACATAATTATCAGGTGGATGATTCATGGTTTGAAGGCTTCAGGTTTCATTCCTGTTACCACTAAATTTACTTGTCTTGTTATTTCAAAGTTAAGGCAGTCTACCACTGTCACTAACTTTGAACTGCTATCTAGTGGGAAGGACTGGTTGGTAGCACCCACACCGAACTCTGGCTGCTTAACTATTACATAGTGTAAATTTACTGATTAGTTTTGTTTCTAATTATAATTGCATAACTAAATTTACTGTATAAACAGCCACAGGTTTGAGGAAGGGGCTCAAGGGGTCCAAACCCTCTATCCACTTTTTTTATTCCAGAAATAAATTTGTTTAAGTAGACATAGATCTAGGGAGCCCCCCCCCCACCTCCCTTACATTTCTTTTCAAAAATTACTAAACAGCCATATAGTTTCAAAAATGTTTGCCATTATTTTTATTTGACAGGTCTGTTGGTTACTGTAAACTTTCAGTTTTCTGAAATCAAACCAGTTACAGCTTTTGCTAGTAACTGATTTCTAAATGAATGCAGCAATATGAACCTCAATTAAATGTTGCCATGGTAATTTTTTTCACTTCAGTTTTTTTCACACTAACAATGTGTACTCTTGAATAAATTTGTTTTCATCAGTCTAATTATTGCTTAAGATGCCTGAATCTCTTATAAAATACTTGTTACAGAATAAATTTTTCACTGTTTGAAAGTTTTAATGACTTTATTTTTACATTTATGTCCAAAGTGAATGCAAGTGCTATGAATATAGTGACAGCTTAAAAAAAAATCCTTTTTATGAATGCTAAAATGAGATTAGGTGTAACTTTTTTTTCTAAATGTACTATTCAATTTAATTATAATTTTAAATGTTACACTTAACTGTTCTTGTTTTCATATCAATCAAATTACTAGAAATAAATATAAGCTTTAAAATTGTTAGATTATAACCTAACTGGCAGTATTTTATTTACAGAATATCAGTGTGCACTTACTGCATATTTCAAAAACAATGGTACTTAGTTGCCATTTGTATACCCCCAAAAAATATGCAATTGGCTACCTTCAGAAAGTTCAATATAAATACTGATTAAGCGATTAGCAAGTACCATTAATTGCCCAGGTCTACTGATAACTGGTTCTATGATAGTTTTAAAGTAACATTAAGTATCGCTGAATTTTACAATTTTCTAATACTTAAGGTAAACTAATTGTAGAATTTACTATTATACTTTCAAAAGAACTACATGTATACAATGTAATTTATTCAAGACTTAAATATATTAATGGCAACTATTTGGCCTCATATATATCACTCATCTAAACCTTAAACTGAATATTACTATCATATTTAGTGTTTTATATCTAACACCATTTGAACTAAACAATCTTATCCGTTTTATCTTCATAAAAAAATTAGTTATTTCTTTAAATGCTGTCCAGTGGCACAGCAGTATGTCTGCAGACTTGCAATGCTATAAACTGGGTTTCGATAGCCCATTGTGTAGCTTTGTGCTTAACTTGAAATAAACAATTTCTTAAAATTAATCAACAATGTTTAATATAATCAACCTGAAGCTTCTAATTGTGAACAAAATTAATAAAGAAAAAGGAAATTAGACTACTGTTGCATTGAATGCACTGTCTTTTAAGAAGGAATAAAATAAATAAAGCACTGACTTCATAATTATGGTGAGTTTTTTTTTTCATTTAGCCAGTTTGTGACAATGGAATGGGATCAAAGAACAATGTCATTAGAGTAAGAAAAGAAGATTTTCAAGTATTTGAAGCCTTAGAAATGGACAGCATCAGTACTAGTGGTAATTCATAAAGTAGGAAATGAGTTTGAAAAAAAATTGCAACTTTTAAAAATGACAAAAGAATACATTATGAAGCTAAATTACCAATAGATCCTTTGTTTTGTTTTTTCCTCACCAGAAATCCTATATTATGAATTTTTGTATGAAAATGAATGAAGAAGAAATGGTAATATACTAATGTCATGTATCCACAGGTAGAAACTTGTTTTGGTTGGTTGTGTGTGCATACTGAAATTACATGATAATAGTTGCAAATAAGTCTAAAAGTACAGACATATTTAAAATGGTAAAATTCTTAGAGAATATGCATTAAAGGTTTATGAAATTAAATTACTTGTAATATGGTTTACTTTTTTATTTCAATAATCATTTATTTTCATGCTGTACCATAATTATGTTCATTTATTTGACTTTCTCTTTATTTGCTGGTATCTCAGGTGCTCTTTCTGAAGATTATTCACAAGAAATTCCTGAGCGAGGATCTCAAGTTAAAAATCCTCCTTTACTTCCCCCTCATTTACTTCAAATTATTCTCAATCAAGAGGTTTCTATCTCGGTAAGTTTATAGACAATTTTTTTTTTTCTAAACTATCTTCCTTTCTTTTACAGATTGTGCTGTGATAAAGCTATTAGTTTATTCAAATGAAACAGTTTCAACTAATGAATTTGAATCTGTATAGCCGAGTATTTGTATTCTAGTTATGTAAAGCTATATTGACAAGGTAACTAGTTATGAATGTTTTTTTTTGTTTTTTTTTCTATCATAAGTGTGACCCAACCCTACTTCCAGAACCTAACCATGTCATGCTTAATCACCTGTATGCTCTCTCAATAAAGGTAAGGTATCTTCTAAGGATTTACCTTGTTTGTGTGTATTTTATGAAAGGAGACTAGTACTTTTAGAATTTCACTTGTACCAGCAGATAAGCAAGTTCAGAAACATCTCTTATCTTGGTACTATATATTTGTACATGTATGTGTTTATAAGCTTGCGTGCAGTATTGTATAATCTACAAATGTATATGAATCCAATACGTGTTGGTTGTTATATAACTGTATAATGCATTCATTTGATTTACAGGATGGTGTTTTGGTACTGAGTGCTAGCCACCGTTACAAAAAAAAAACTGTTACCACTGTTTTCTACAAGCCTGTTTGACAATATCAGTGTATGGGGGAAACTTTTCTACCTATGATCCTCTATAGAAAATATGGAATCATTTCCCATTTGCTCTGTAGATCACCAGCAAAAAATATTTCGGAGAAGTTAAGCAAGTAACATGGTAACTAATGTTGCCAGAATATTTTTGTGCATAATATACACATTGCTGAAGAAAAAATATATTTAAAAAAAATTAATTAAATATTTATTAGTCTTTCAAGAGTTTATGGAGATGTATGTATTTTGGGTATTAACTTTTTGTATGATCTGAATCGTTATTTATAGCAAGGTTGTTAAAGTAAATCGCCTTGTATGCTCCAGATTAAGATTATCAGATGTAGGAACATGTTATTGCAATGCATATTTAAGAAATGAAGATGCAATTCACCATAACTGAACTTGGTCATTTAAAACATGCAACAAATTCTTTTCTCATACTAAAATTGTTTCAAATTTAAGTACAATTAATTGCTTAGTTACATATTTTTGAATTATCTAGATTAATATCAAAACAAAGGCATTGTGCAGCAGCAGCAACAACTGTTCTTTTAGGTATTGTGATATTGGCTAAATGTTTGTTTTTTCTCTTTTTTTTTTTATGTCTAAGATCCTTACAGAATAAGCCTACTGGTTTTAATATGGTTAACCTTGTGCTAGTGCCTTTGATAAGTTACTTATGAACTCTGAATTTTTAAAAGTACAAGTGAAGTATATGTAAAGGTCTATAGCTCTGTTTATCTATCTTGGAAAATAAAAATAAAGAATTTTATAGTAAGTACTTTTGTTTAGAATTAAGAAATTAAATTTTGTAGAACTATAATGTTGTTCCAAGCAGAAATGTAACTTTCAAAAACTTTTGAGGTAATAACAATCGGTTGTTTAAAATTGATTTATTTACCAGATACATAACTTATTTTTTATTCCTTCACCACTATTTGATTTTATAATTAACTTGTTCTTACTACAAAGCAAAGAACTAAATACGCTGAAAAATGATTTATAACAAACTAATGGGAAATGCATTGTTTATAAATTGGTCTTTACATTAAGATGTATAAATAATGAAATGTACATGCTGAACTTTTCAGTAACCTTATTTTTAATTGGAATTTTATGCTTCAAGTAAGAACCACTAATTTATAATTTAATCTTGGTACAGATATATAGTACTAAAGCAGTAACTTTACAGATTCTACCAGATTTTAGCTTAAGAATTGAGAAATGGTCACATAGATATGTTGGAAGATTACTGAAATATTTCATTCTTTAGATCTAATAAGTTGTAAAATATAATGATTTTAAATGTATTACTGATATTGCCAACTAGTCAAGGTATTGTGTAATTTGGTCAGGTGAGATGTTTCTAATTCAATGTAGACCTCTTTGTTTATAGATGGCACATCTTGTGTTTTCGTTGTATGTCAAGTCTTCCCACTGAGTAAACGTCCACCTTTAGTCAATATATCCAAATAGGTATTAGACTTAATGTAGTGTACTTTCATTGAAATATTTTCTAAATGGTTGTGAAAATCCATCCAGAATAAATGAATGGGTATAATAACTTTTGGTCAGAAGCAGAATTTTATTTTTTGAGATTTCTTCTTTTTATGCTGCTCTACCCATCTTTATTTTTGTATCTGCAAAAATTACATGAAATAACAAACGTTTGAGAATTTATACATCTGTGTACTGCTACAAACTTTTGTCTGAGATTAGTTTTTGTTTTGTATTACTTAAGTTTTTGAAGTTTGTAAATTTGTGTTAATTTAAAATTTGAATACTTAAGTCAAAATCTGTTAAAACTATTTTAATTTTTTATATTGGTATTAACTTTTTTAGATAAATAAAATAATAGTTTTTAATTTTGTAGAACTATTTTGGTTTTCATTAATACTTCCAAGAAATTAAGCTTAAGTAAAAACACTATGTAATTTTTTTGCATTGTAGCTACTGAATTTTAATATTCAAACATTATAATGTTTCAAATGATATTCATAAGTGTGAGATGTTAATGTATCTTTCTTAATATATAGATAGATATGTACTTGTTTTAAGATGTGTAACCTACTCCAAGTTATTTATGTGATAAGTATTGTACTAGTCTTACTTCAGCATTCTAGTCCAGACAAATATTGAAGAGATACTTGACGAAGTATTCCATCTGTGATTGTATCATATTTCTAATTCAAAATAACACATCTAGTATAGAAACTTAATGGGAACTGGTTTTCTAAACTGTTTACGTAATTAAATGTTTCTAAAAGTGAAAGGTTAAAACTTGAAAGATGTATGATGCTTTAAACTGCTATACCTTCTTCACTGAAAGATTTTATTTTTAAATGCTATTTCCCATTTATTTTGAGTTTACCTTTTATAGGTCTTAAGTGCCAAATAAATAACTTGAGTCATTGTGTTATTGCTAATCACCATATAATCTAGTGATTAAACTATAAAAATACATTTTTCTAGTCAACCCAATTTTCCAGAATATTTGAATTCTAGAGTTGGTAAGATTAGTATAAACAATCATCAGAACAATAAAATATAAAATTATGTTTGTGTTTTTAGTGTTTTATTCTAATGTTAATATTCTTGGCACAACCATTCAGCAAGATTAATATTATATAGTATGTTGGTAAATTTTGAACGTTTAACTTAAAATCTAAATCTTGTTAATCTTTTTGATATTTAAAAAAAATGCATTCAGTTTGATATTAGTTTTCTTTTTATATTTGTTTTTTACACCATTTTACTTTAGAAGGTTTAAGTAGGAACTTTCCATGTACCAGGGTTTGAGAATGTGAATGAATTTTGGAAATCTTCAGTGATGTGGGAAAAGTATAATCAGTATTAGTATACAAGTAACCTTTTGTATTTTTGTAAATTATCTAGTCACAATTTTTTTTAGTTTGTATATGTGCTGTTTAACTTACATTATGTACCAAATATGGCATATTTTGCCCACTTGAAATATTCTTAATGTGAATACTAATTATTCACATCACTAAGTTTTTTTATACCCAAGTTTATATGTGGAACTGTACTTTAGCTAAAAGGCAAAATGCTTGTAATAATTCAGAAAAGTACCTTTAGGCTCAAAGTTGCAGAATGTTTTAAACACTTAATTCAAATATTGGCCAAAAAAAAAGTGGCTTGTGGGGGAAACTAGTTCTGATTCTAATGCTTTTGTGAAGTAAATAATTATTTTTTCATGTTTATTCTTATTGTACTATACATATTTATGATTACATGTATTTTTAAAATAAAAAAGGCTCAATTGTATCTTCTTTTTCACATGATGATACAGCAGATGATTAAATACAGAAAAATGAATGATTTGGAATAAAGTATATAATCCATATATTTTAAGCCTTTCACTTTTTTGATTACTTAATTTACTACACTTCAAAATTACTAGCTGTTAGGGTACTTGATTGCAAGTTGGGGGATTTGAACATCCTTTAATATGCCTGCCCTTCTTAGCTGTGGGGACATTATAATGGTAAATTGTATTACATACTGATCTAAAAAAAAAAAAAAATATCCCAAGATGGTTGTGTTGACTAGTTGCCTTCCCTTTAGTCAATCACTTAAATTTGGGATTGCTAAGGCAGGTAGGCTTTGGCTAGTTTTGTGTTAAATTCTACAATACATACCCAATCAGTCTATATATTAGGTTGTCAAGAAATTAATATCTCATTTTCAAACACTTTCATTAACCACACCCCAAAAAAGGTACATTATGTATAACAGTTAAACGAACCATGTAAACGTCATGTTAGTGTAGCCTATATAATGTGTAAAGTTTATACCCTAATCCTTTATAGTGATGTCGCACGATGAGACACACAATCAGCATGTAATGCCATTTGAATACAAGAAGGGAAACAACACCACTGTAGCCACAAAGAATATCAAAAAAGTTTATGGAAATGTTTTGAACAATCGTAAGTGTCAACAATGGTTCAGCAAATTTCGTCCAGGTGACTTCAGCCTTAAAAGCTGTGATGGCAGGAGCCAACATGTTGGAATTGATATTGATGCTCTGAAGATGTTTGAGTCTAACCCAAGGCAACACATTCGTGAAATGGCCATTGTGTCAGTGTTGTTGTTTTTGTATTTCCAAACTGTTTAACCTTCTTTTAAAACCAAGTGAATCAGTGTTGTTTTTATATTTCCCAACTGTTTAACCTCCTTTTAAAATCCAGTGAATTACTCATTACAGGTCAGTTTCTTGCTGATAAGTAACCATACAAATATTATGAGCCTCCACTATCAAACAGTGAATAAGTCATGTGATTAAATTGGCAAGTCACAGCAAAACAACTAAAGAGTGACATCTAAACAAATCCCTAATTTTTTTTCTGTTTTAAAAAACATACAATAAAGAAGAAATAAAAACTAAATTAAATCCCTAAAAACAATGTACGAGTAGAGTTCAACTAGTTAAAAAAATCTAGAATCATTGTTCGAAACAAACTGGCTCAGGAAAGAGGAAGGCTTAAAGTTTTTCATTCTTTTATACTTCCATCATAGATGAATGTTTTATATTTTTTTCAAATTTCATCTTAGTTAGTACTTCATATTAAGTTAATCGTACCTGTTTCATTAGTGGCTATCAAGTTATAGAATCTAGGATCCCAAAGGATTTGTTGAACTTTAGACCCTGACTGTTACATTAATTGTAAAATTTTACTATGCAGAAATGACTTCTACAAACAACTTTTTCCAAAAACATCATAAAAAAAAAAAAAATACAAAATAGGAGGATTATTCTGTATAGATACAAATACTTTAAATTAATTTCTACTACTGATATATTAGTAGCAGTTGAAATTTCATTCAAAAAACATTGTAAATTGGATTGAACTCAAATGCTTACAATTCAATATTTTAAAAGTTCACAGCAGAGCAATTTCAACTTTGTCTGTTTTGTTTTTGAGCAACCAAAAAATGTTGATTCTTCAATTTATGCCACCCATTTTTTACCACCCAAAAAATTGATTCTTCATATCATGCTACCCCCCCAAAAAAATTGATTCTTCATATCATGCTACCCCCCAAAAAAAATTGATTCTTCAAATTATGCCACCCCATTTTTCAGCAATCTGGTAGGGAAACTAGTGTTATTACGAGCAAATATTATATATTACCATTCAAATTTTTAGTTTAAGTAAACAAGTTCTTAACACAAAATCCTAGGTATCTTAAATTGTTCTTTTAATGAAAAATAACAATGAGGACCAGCTGCTTTACTTTCCATTTGTTTCATTGAAAAAAAAATTTACAGCAGATAACTAGAATAATAGCACTTTCAAAATAAAGTTTAAGATTACTTGGAAATCTGTGATCTTCACACTCAAACTTGTAAGTCCTGACATTTAATTTTCAGATCATCTATTTGTAATGACTTTGATATACTTATCCACTCTATAAATATTTAAGGTAATGTGTGATTTAATTACTATTATAATAAAAGGAGGATTACAACATGCTAGCTAATTCCCAATTAGCAAGAACTGTGGTACTTCTTTACCAATTGCAACCGCATCAGTATTTGTATTATGATTTCTTATTACATGACACTAGATTTTTATACTAACAGAAACTAAAACTGGGAAAAATAACTGACAAGCATCAAGATACTTAACTTTCTACAGGAACCACTAATGCAATGGTGTCACGAGCCAGCCCGGGATCAGTTATACCATCGGGTCTCCCTATCATTCTATTTATTAACTTCTGCTGTTAAAGCAGTAGCCATTTTTAGATCATTAAGTAGTATGCATTTCTAGTGAGCTTTGGAATATCCCACCACCTGACCCCTCAACAAGCCCTGGGGCAGCAGCCCCCTCCCCCCTCATCAGCCCTGCACTATTATTGTATTGAACATTAGAAACAAAGGAGATAACTAAGAATAACCGTCGACCTTGCACAACTATTTCCAAAATAACTTGCATAATTACTACAAATCTGAGGAACATTTCTATTAATAACAAAAATTAACAATTAACCTCACAATCACATATGGACAGAAAAACAAGAATTATAACCTTACTGTTGACATTCAATTGTTTATTTCACAACTCTAAGTAGCTATTCCAGTGTTGTGCATGCGTCAGTGAAACTCCTAACACAAAGTGTCCAAATCTTTAACACAAAATTTTGATTAGTGTGCCTTGGATATGAAAATAAACATAACAAAAACTAAACTTTTTCCAACTATATATATAATCTAATTCTAGTTTGAATTAGCTCCTACACAAGTTTTAGTTTTATTTCCATGTAAAGATTTTTCATATTTATTTCAGTCAAAATTAAATTTATGTACCATTTCAGACTTAGTTTTACTTGCGTTAATACTTTAAACATACATTTTCTACACTAATATTTGGCAATGAAATAAATAAACCTAATATCCTTAGAAACAAAGCGTTTCTTAGTGTGTACAAACTTGAAATGAAACAATACTGTTTTTAGATGAAGTACTTTATTTTCAGTTAAAACATACATAAAATTCATAACATAATGTAATGCAACTTAAGTTTTTACATTAACACATACATAATCTACAAAACTGCTTTAATTGTACTTCAGATACTTAACCTTAACATAAAACAATATAAGAAAGTGTAGAAAATTATTTTTATGGTTATGTAATGAGTACCCTAACCCTTTTCAATCACCTGATTCTAATTATTTTATTTATTCCAGCTCTTGATCATTTGAATCTTTTAATTAAAAGAATGAACTTACTGAAGATAGACTGACACAGCTTTTCATGCT